TTTATTTTTATTTAATAAAAGGAATTTATTTGACGAGTAAAACGACATTTGTCAATAACATTTGATCAAATAAAGAAAAAGAGTTAAAATGTGAATTGAGTATAATTTAAGGGCCATTTTATCTATTAAGTCTTTATTTTTGTAATAAAAAACAATTTCTCAATTTAGGTTTTGTTCAAATTTAAGTCCTGATTTAACAGATTTTGTGACACTTATTTGTGTAAGGATCAAAATTTTAAAATTTTAAAATTATAGAACTAAAAATATCAAATTTGAATATATAAATTAAATTCGTAAATTAAGTATAGTGCATGGGCTAATAAAGGAGTTTGACATTTTAATTATTTAAAAAGTTTTATAATTGAATCCTGGTTTTCCCCGTCGCATCGCTATCTGCCCTATATATATTCATCTAGTCGTTTTCCGCCCGATTTAGCCGCCGGATTCGAAACTAACAGCATAAGGTAACGTGCTTTTCCCTTATATTTTCTCCCCCTTTCCTTATTTTTCTTTGCATCCAAACATAGCCCGATGGACTCCAAAAGTTATTGAATCACGAAAAGTAGAATATCAAATGCTTAATTTACTTCCCCCCTTTTTAGCTTCGAATTTAAGGTTGCTTTACCAATTCGGTAGGTTCTCTTTCTGGCGTTGCATCGGAATCGTAAGTTGAAATGGGTGTATCTTTTAGTTATGGAGTCTCTAGGTTTATTGGAGTACATTCGATCGATTTATTTATTTTTCAATATTTTAATTTGATCTGGAATATTTCTCTGTTGGATTTTGGATTTTGAATGATTGATGATTTTATCGTTTTTTTTACTTTTAAAATTTTAGATTTTGTAATTTGATGGCGGATAGAAGCTTGGCTTCCGGCGCGAAGCCTATATGGATGAAACAAGCTGAAGAAGCCAAGCTGAAAAGTGAGGCAGAAAAAGCTGCAGCTGCCAAAGCGGCTTTTGAAGCCACATTTAAAGATTTTGATAAGAGCCGTAACAAGGATGTGGTGGCAGCTTCATCGGATAGTGAGTCCGAGGACGAGACCAGTGACTTGGTGGACAAGCCAATTGGACCTGTGGATCCTGCCAAATGCATGGCAGCGGGGACAGGAATAGCGGGTGGCACCGCCTGTGCGGCATCCTCGTTTATGGTGGTGACGAAGGATGCAGATGGGAGGAAAGTACAGAGTGGGGGTGCGCAGATTCAGGTGAAAGTTTCGCCAGGTGTTGGTGTTGGGGGATCAGATCAGGAGGGCATTGTGAAGTATATGGGAGATGGGACTTACACTGTGACTTATGTGGTTCCCAAGAGAGGGAACTATATGGTGAACATTGAATGCAATGGGAAACCCATCATGGGTAGCCCATTCCCTGTGTTCTTCAGTGCAGGTAACATTGTTAAATCTATGTCTATTCATTTTTATTGTATCTTTTGTTGTTACTTGTCATGTAAATTTTTCTATATTTGTTAATTTTATTTGATTGTCCTGGTGAATGTTAATTTCTTTGTCCTCAAATGTTTGGAGTAACTGTTTCTTTTCATATGAATTTCAGTCTACTCGTATTATTATTTTCCTTGTTCTGTGCGAAGAAGGCTCACAAATTGGAATGCGAAAAGTTCTTGATGTGACTCACCTTCATATAATTTTGCTCACTGCCATCTAACTTTATTTTGAATCTGTTCTTGCTTATTGTTGATATGTGTGACTTCAGTTTTGGGCATAGCTTATGACTGCATCCTTAGTGCTCATGGTGCAGATGTTGAATTTATTGTATTGCAGGTGCTTCTACTGGAGCTGTACTAGGGGTGGCTCCTGCATCCGCATATCCAAACCTTGTAAATCAAACAATGCCCAACATGCCCAACTATACGGGATCTGTTTCTGGAGCTTTCCCTGGCTTGTTGGGAATGATCCCAGGCATCGTATCTGGTGCTTCAGGTGGTGCTATTTTGCCAGGAATGGGGGCATCTCTTGGTGAAGTTTGTCGAGAATACCTCAATGGCCATTGTGCCAAAAATGACTGCAAATTGAACCATCCTCCCCACAATTTGCTGATGACTGCTTTGGCAGCAACAACCAGTATGGGAACTCTCAGTCAGGTTCCTATGGCACCTTCCGCAGCTGCAATGGCTGCAGCGCAGGCTATGTTGCTGCTCAGGCCCTTCAAGCTCATGCTGCGCAGGTGGCACAAGCTCAGTCAACGAAAGATTCATCTGGTACCTTTATACTATCTTGTTTTCCACTTCTTTTTCTTTAATTTTTTTTCTATTTCCTATTTATTTCAGTTGAATGCCCAACCTAACAGTTACTGCTGCTTTTCAGATTCTACTGACAAAGCTGCAAAGGGTGATTCATTGAAAAAAACCTTACAAGTTAGCAATCTTAACCCACTTCTCACTGTGGAGCAGTTGAAGCAGCTTTTTAGCTTCTGTGGTACAGTTGTTGAGTGTACAATCACTGACTCAAAGCATTTTGCTTACATAGAATATTCAAAACCAGAGGAAGCAACAGCTGCATTGGCATTGAACAATATGGATATTGGTGGTCGACCATTAAATGTGGAGATGGCCAAAACTCTTCCTCCAAAACCAGCTATATCATCAGTGACTTCTTCATCTCTGCCTTTGATGATGCAGCAAGCTGTTGCCATGCAACAGATGCAATTCCAACAGGCTTTGCTTATGCAACAGACATTGACTGCTCAGCAGGCAGCTAACCGAGCTGCAAGCATGAAGTCTGCAACAGAGTTAGCTGCAGCTAGAGCTGCAGAAATAAGTAAGAAGCTAAAAGCCGATGGGCTTGTTACAGAAGAGAAGGAAACCAAGAGTAAATCTAGGTATTTCTCCTCATCAGGACAAGTCTATTTCCTTGCATGCATGTTTTTTTTATTAAGGCTTAATTTTAATTTAGGCTTTGCTTCCATATTGTTAAATAATACAGTTACTTGCATTCTCCCTTAAGTTTACTTTATCCTGAGCAGAACAGTGCAACAGTTATCTGTTTGCAACGATTTTCTCATGTTTGCAAATCTTGGTGTTGTTTTAAGATGATATTTTACATATTAGGAACAAAAAGTGATCAGTGTCTTCTCTTGTTTGTTTGTAAGTTAGACTTCAAACCTTAATAATAGATTTGAGTTCTACTGATTCATAACTCCTGTTTATAGGTCACCATCCACTTCCCGTGCAAGGTCAAGATCCAAATCAAAATCACCCCTTAGTTACCGGAGAAGATCAAGATCCAAGTCAAGATCACCAATTATTTATAGGAGAAGGTCAAGGTCCAAGTCAAGATCACCAATCAGTTATAGGCGAAGAAGGAGGTCTCGCTCTTATTCACCTCTGCTTCGTTTCCGACGTGACTGTAGGTCCCGATCACCTGTGCGGGCTCACCATCCTTCAAGATATGAAAGTGAACGACGTACTTATAGAGATAGGGATGACAATGACAGGCGTAGCAGACGAGATGCAGAGAGATCGCGCGATAGCCATTCATCTATTTCGAGGAGAAACAGGAGTGCCAGTCCTCGAAATAGAAAATCACCTCCTGTAGATTCAGACTCCCCGAAACAGAGCAGAGAAAGTTCACCTAGGCTTAGGAAATCTTCCCGTCCTGGTTCAACATCACCAGGGCATCAGAGAAGAAATAGGTCATCCCCAAAGACTGATGATGAAAGAAGATTGAAATATAGAAAGCGCTCTAGATCAAACTCTGCTGATTCGGACAACAAAAGAATGAAATCCTAGATGAAAAAACAACACACAGCAGTAGAAGGCGATCCAGGTCATTATCTTCGGAAGGTAGACATCAAAGGAGGGGGTCTTCTGCAGATGAAAACAATTCAAAACACAGAAGGCGGTCCAGATCAGTTTCTGTAGAAGACAGGGTTCACTCAAACAGTAAAATTGATGAAGTGAAAAAAGATGAATTGAGACATAGTGAAACAAGGCGGTCCCGATCAGGATCTGCTGAAGGTAGGCATTATGCCAAAGAGAGGAGTGAAAGAAGTAGTGATAAGAAATCTAAGCATCGGGATAGAAGGCGGTCGAGGTCGAGATCTGCTGATGGCAAGCATCAGGATAGAAAGCGGTCGAGATCTGCTGATGGCAAGCATCGCGATAGAAAGCGGTCAAGGTCGAGATCTGCTGATGGCAAGCATTGTGATAGAAAGCGGTCAAGGTCAAGATCTGCTGATGGCAAGCATCACAGAGGAAGCAAGCGGTCCTCCCGAAATTCTGATGAAAATAGATCAAAACACCGAAGGCATTCCAGGTCAAGGTCTACCGAGGGCAAACATCTTTCTGCTGATAAAATAGATGAAAGATCAAAACGTCATGACAAAAAACATTTATTATCTGCTGAAGCTATGCCTGCTAGAGGAAGCAGATCTTCTCCTATAAGTTCTGAAGACAATGATTCAAGGCCAAGAAGGCGATCTAGGTCAAAGTCAGCTGAAGGTAAGTAATGTTTTGATGGTAACAATAAAAGTTCACATTTTGGTAAAACAATAAGAAAGATTGAATATGGTAATGAGCTGCTTACTTACATTGTGGATGATTTATAAAATACAGGGGATGACAGGATTTTGGTTTCAAAATATGAGACTTATGACTCAAAAGTTTCAGTACATGATGATCAGGAACTGAAAAGCAAATATTTGCCAAAGTTTGGCAGTGATAAAGAACTCTCTCCAGATAGCAGATTGAATGCAAATGAGCAAACGAACTTGAAAGATCAGGTCGTAAGCAGTGACTTGATAGTAATGGTAATGTAGCAAATCACCGAAAATGAAATAACACTAATAAAGATATACAGTTGATGACTAATAGCAACTCTTATACATTCTTTGCAGGATCAGAAGATCATTCAATTTCTCCTCAGCAGAAATGAGCTGTGGGCTTTGCCTGCTACTGAACCTTAGCTGTTCCAAGTTGTCTGAGTGCTCGGTCTCCAGTTTGGCCTTTGTTCAATCCAAACTTGTTCAGATATGAACAAGTTATCTAAGTTTAACGAGAGCTTTGGCTCCCATATGGACAACAGTTCACTTAAGACATTGCTCAGTGTTTCTTTTCGTGCTTGGATTTTTCAGACATTTGTTGTTTCTTCATAAATGTATGCCATTGTGCTCTTTTATCCTTTGCAGGCATGTGGAACAGATTGACATTGAAGTCTTTGAGCTCACATTTACAATGGAAAGCAATTCAAGCAGTGTTCTGCTTTCTTCTGCAATCAACCATGCAATGTTTGTTGCAAGCTTCTTTACTGCTAGATGTATGTTGGACCATTATCTCTACTGCTGAACTGTAATTTATTAAGTATTTATTTGAACGTTTGCGGCCTGGTTTAGATTTATCCTCTCTACCTCTATTTATGTTTGTGTACGTGTCAGCAAGCGTACATCCTTGTTTAGATTCCAAACATGCTGTTCTTTATTTTCTTCCAGTCACCTGTTTTCTAGCTGTCTTGAATGTACAACTCTTGGCCTTTGATTGATATGCTTGATCATTGGTCCACTTTTATGTCTTTCATGGTCTAGACGGCCTGTTATATCCAACTCATGCAGGTTTTTACAAGGTGTTCCTGTTGGACCTATCAGTGATCAGTTTGGCGGGTTGGTTTTTACTTTATCTATTTGAAGGTATGCAGTTGCTTTGTGGCAGAGAGCTAGTGCTATAAAATTTATATTTTTCATAAATTCCTTTAGTGTTGATTTGTCATATAAGGTGACTGCTGTGTTAAAGCTTGGTTCTATCTTTCACTTCGCTTGTATTTTTTTTCTTTTTTTCTCTTTTCCTCATTTCAAGGAAAGTTATTTTCCAAAGCTACTTTAAGGTCCTGTGTAACCAGACTCGGCGAGGATGAACAGCGTCTATTTTTGAGCCCCCTAGCACAGATCGGTTGATCACTTTAAAAAATTATTTCATAGTTTTTTCACAGGTAATCTTTCATGACACTGCTTGGCAGAGTCCTTCGTATGATAGTAGTTGTTAAGTTAGATTTGCTTGCATTTGTACCCTAGATATTAATACTCTGGCCGTGGTCTTTCCTTTGGGCTTTAGCTTTTAGTTCTTCAATGAACTTTTGTTGGCTGAAGTAATTGGTAGATAGTTTGACGTTCTGCTCTGGTTGTTGATTTCCATTTGGACTGTAATGGCATTGCCAAAAACTCACCCCGTTTTTCGTCTTCGATTTTCCTTTTTTCCCATTTTTCCTAGTTTTTCCCCTTCCCCCCCCTTTTTTTCTTTCTAGGATGCATGGATTTGGTGGTATAAGAGCACGGATTTGGTATGAAACCTCTGGAAATGGTCGAGTTAGCATGCAGCACTATGTTACTTGGATTCATGTGTGAGTGTCGGATATCCATATGTATCTGATATGAGTGTGTTTAAATTTCCATACCTAGGATATAGTGTGTTTGGAATATTTTTGAAGCATGTTCACGTTTTTGGAGGGTCAACCCGTAGAAAATATCCATTCGAATTTGGGTATGTGAATGAGTCGGATACGGATAATGTGTCGGATGCGGATATATAGACAAGCAAACATCAAAGACTTAAAATGATGTTTGCTTTTAAGATAATTTTGGTGTCTTCCCAACTTGAATCTCGACCCTAATTCCCCAATCCTATAAGGAATGGGTAATGAGCTGGCTACATTTGGATTCCAAGCTGTACTTCATAGTATATTGTCTTCTAATTTGCTTTATCAATTGGTAGTTTTCTTATTACTTGTAGTTTGAATTTAGGGTAAATTATGCATTTGTGCCTAACCTATCAATTTTGGTCCGTTTTAATACTTACACTTTTATTTTTTTCAAAACCCTACCTAGTTTAGTTTTTATTTCATTGGGCTGAAATTGATATTGTAGGTATTAAAGGCGTTTAAGTTTTTAATGGTGGGTATTAAAATAAAACAAAATCTAACTGTTTGGTATAATTTTAAAAAACTTGAAAGTTTATATAGTAAAACATATCAAAGCTGATAGTTTAGGTACTAAGTGTATAGTTTACCCTTAAATTAATGAAGTTCAAGTTTTGGGAACACATATGTAATAGAATAATTCTATCATTTGAAAAACATTTTATTTAAAATATCGGCTGTTTAACATTTAGTTGAGATTCACATTTTAATTATGTTGTATGCTAGTAGATGTTAAAAATGTTGGTTATTAAAGAAATTTAAAAAAAATAATTGAATTGTAGTTCGGATAATTCTGTTTGTTGCGATATGTATTAATATATTTGGGTTTGAGTGTGTTCAATAATATAATATCGTATAAAATATTATATATTTTTTTAATTGTTGGGTAAGTTACACATATATTATCTAAACTATTAATCTTGGTTCATTTTAGTACTTAAATTTTAATTTTTAAAAATAATACCTAAAATTTAGTTTTATTTCATCTTAGTACCCACCGTTAAAAATTTTAGTTTTGTTTCACTCTAGCACATCTTTCAAAATTTAATGTTAAGTTTTGAAAAAATTAGAAGTTTAGGTATTAAAATGAAATAAAATTTATAGCTTAGGTACTAAATATGTTAAGCTTTAATGGTAGGTACTAAAATGAAAAGAAAATTAAACGTTGGGTATGTTTTTGAGGGAAAAAAATGAAAGTTTAGGTATTAAATCGGATCAAAATTATAGTTTAGTTACTAAATGTGTAGTTTATCCTTAATTATTTAAAAAAAAATATTTAAAACTTAATGCCATTCTAGATTCTAAGTTTACTCCAAAAAAGTCTTTCTTTATATGAATTGTTTATATGATAATGTCACTTTCTTATTCTTTCAGTCTCAAATCTCTTAAATTATTCTCATTGAATCTCTTAAATTATTCCCATTTCATATTTACCAATTGTCGATTTTGACATTCGATATATGTTATTTTAAGGAATAAATTAAATTAATCGAATCACATGTTTTTCAAAATGATATTTATTTTAAGTTGGTCTTTAATTTTCTATATATTTAAATTTTATCTTTAAATTATTGCTATATGCAATGATGTTTTATGTTATAAAAATCGTTAAAAAAATTATTAAATGCCTTATAATCATTAATATTGTTATGTAAATTATTGATTTATGTTAATGATTATTATTTATGCCACATTATATTAAATAAAAATTATAATCTAAAGATAAAACTAAATTTAAAAAAAAGTTTATAAATTAATTTAAAACAAAATCGTAATTTAAAAACATATAATAGGATTAACCAACTCACAAAATCTATGAATCTTTGAACAAGAAGTCCACTTGGAACTATAAGCCGCCCATGATATGCAGCTGACGTGGCATGTCGTGTAGATTTGGACATGCATAAAGAACACGTGGCAAAAAGATAAGATCAAAGTGAATGAAAATGAGAATAAAATTGAGTAAACTTATGACTATATTAATAATAATGATAAAATCTAATTATTTCTAGATTTTGTAGTTCGAAAGGTATAAAGTTATATATATATATATATATATATATATATATATATATATATATATATATATTTCTATTCATTAATTTTTTTTAATCATTTCATTTAAAAAAATATAGGAAAAATAAACACACTTGTTATGATATTTATTATTAATTGAGAAAATTGATTTTTTAACTAAGTGAAAGTTAAGTAAGTTTGTGATATTAATTAAAATTTTAATAAATATTGCAAATATTATATGATTAAATTAAAAATCAATACCAACAAATTTGTTGGTCTTGTGGAACGAGACATTAGATTTCTTAAATAAACTTGAAAGTTTGAATATTTGTATTTGTCAATAAAGTAAATTGAGTTAAGAGGGTCGTCTTGTCTCTACAGTACACAATTTGAATTAATCGATTAGAAAATCAGATACTATTAATTTTACCAAAAAATTAATATATATATATATATAAGTATTTAAAATAAAATAAATTTTATATGTGTAAAGATAACTCTCAATCTTTTAACATTAAATGTTTATATCATTAACTTTTTTGCTCTCAAAATCAAGTTCTGAAGAAATAACAACAATTCTTTTATCCCGAAAGCCATTTAATTCGTACATGATTAAACGAACTTCATTTACACTTTTTTTTTGAAATAATAGATTTTGAATAATAAATAGATAATAAATTAATTTAAATCCAAAAATATTGTAAAATTAGTAAATCGTACCAAAACCATAATTATTAATAATATTAGGTTTCAAACTTTCAATCAAATTCGGAAATGACACGTGTCCAGATCCCTCCAAATAAATTCCTTCTCGTTTTCATCCCTAAACAAATATCACTTTCCCTTCCTAATCCCCTTTTCTTAGAGCCTTTCTTCTCTCTCCGCACACTCAATTTTCACCCTTCTTTTTCTTTCTATTTTTGCCTCTTAATTTTCTCTCATTTCTTTGCAAAACAATTCCCACTTGTAATTAGCAACGAAATCGTTTCCAATTCTTCCCACGATGCGTTGTGGTTATGGATTGGCGGCGTTGCCCGGTACAGACGCCCGTTTCTTTTCGCCGGAAACTTCCTTCCTCCGGTTACCCAGAACCGTCCATCCGGCCCGGATAAAATTTGGGTCGCTCAAAATCAGGGCGAAGATCGACGAAGCGAGGAAGGAGGTGAGTTTTTATGAGCTGTTGGGGATATCGGAGACGGGTACTTTGCTGGAGATAAAGCAGGCGTATAAGCAACTGGCTAGGAAGTACCACCCGGACGTGTCGCCGCCGGATCGGGTCGAGGAGAATACGGAGCGGTTTATTCGGGTCCAGGAAGCTTATGAGACTTTGTCGGATCCGAGGAGGAGAGCTGTGTATGATAAGGATTTGGCTTTTGGGCTTCACCTTGCTTTCTCTGGTAGACGGCGTTATCAACACGATGAGGTATTTGATCTTTCCTCTTTCTATTTATGGATTAATATTAGCTTTGGGTTTTTGTTTTTAGACTTTTTTTTGCCTTTTTTGGTAAGTGCTCTATATCTGGGTTTTATTTATTCTGTCTTTTATAGGAATTTCCAACCCTTTCTTTCTTCAAGATTTGAACTTTCTTAACTTTTTAAGTTGGAATTTCTAGAATTTTAATCATTTGGATGTCTATTTGGGGGACTGAATTGATGCTTTGACGAAGTTCTCAAGTTATATTCCAGTTGAAATCTAGTTTATTTTGACTGTTGATTATGATGCGTGCTTAATTCTGTGTAGTGGTTAGATTGTAAATACAAGGGTTTTCAAGGATAATATTAGGTTAAAATGTAAAGTTACTAACATAGAAGTAAAGCTTGGCTGTTAGTATTATGTAGGGTATGTAGGATTTTATGTTAATGGCAGGAGGCAAACTTGAACTTCTAAAATTCTTGGGGTTGAACATCTAAAATTTTAGGGTTAAAAATAGATTTTCAACTGAAAATACAGAGAAAATTTAAAATATATAGGAATTTTAAATTTTCAGTGCTACTGGCCCGCCCCCTTGGGTCCATCTCTGGTATTATGGCTAAGCTTAAAGGATATGAAAGTGTAGACTGACTACTTCATCTTTTGACTTTCTGTTTGTTTATGATGAGATTGATTTTTGAAAAACTGACTCATTTTTCATGTGGAAATTGATATTTTCTGTCGCTTGAATCATCTTGTGTGAAATAATTTCCGTTTTTGTTTCTTTTTTCCTTCTGAATTTGTATCTATGTGTAATGATTGATCCTACTCTTAAAAGGTTGATCCTTTTTGTGTTGATCCGGAGAAGAGACCGGTCCCTACATGTAGGGGATCCTGCCTTTTTTTATTTGCTTCAGCTTCGGGAAGATGTCTTATGATTTTCATAAGTGCTAGACATTTTGACAAACATGCACAAAAAAAAGGGTTAATTTTTCGTTGACAGTTATTTCTTGTGAAAGATACACAAGTAAACGATGAAATTGTTTCTGGGAAACAATTTTTCTGCAACTCAGATGAACCTTTCTTGTCTTCACTTTTAGTCTTTAATGTGTACATCATATGTTTCGAGTCTAAGACTGGTATGAGTCGCTGAGCTGTGTGGTTACCGGTACAGGGAATAATAAGCAATCGACTCTATCCATTGGACTTTTTTTATTAGTAGTTAGAACTTTTAATCTGGAGTTTTCCTGTGTATGCTATCGAATATGGGGACTCTAGATTTTGCTTGTTTTCTTTGCAAATGATAGAGATGGTTAATTAGTCATCGATCTTCGCTTTTGTACTTTTAAATTGTTTGTTGATTCACCATGTTCAAACATTTCCCTTTACATTGATACTAGTTCCATACTAGTCGGATGTGATCGTTGCATTTGTTGTTATTGTCCTTGCAAATAGGATTTACCTGTTCTGACTAAGTAATGCTAAATCTTTAGCTTTTATTATGATCTTCATGAACCTTTTACTTTAGGATTGCTTTTGTCTTTTCGATTTTGAGCCTGTCATAGCTTGTTCTTGAGAAATATGCTTAATCTGTTGAGAGTCTAGAGTCTGTTCCTGCTTTCAGGTCTTCTGTTTGCTTTAAATTCTTACACTCACTTCATAACCAGGATCTAGAAGATCGAAGGGTGGAGAAACCAATGGGAATCTCAGCTATCGGAGCTGAAGAGAAGAAGCATGAACAGGGATGCCGGAGGGAACATGTCATGGGGAGCTCGAATGCGCAGGCAAAGGGAAGAATTGTCTAAAGAACTATAAACAAAACATCCCTTTTTAACCTCAAATGTATACAAAATATTTCTTTTGTGTGTGTATATATATGTATCACTCCACTCTCTTTATATATGGTGATTTGATCATCATTGCTCAAAGATAGGACTTTCAATGCTAATCTGAGAACCAAATTCCACTACTTGGCTTTCAATATTGTACATAAATCTATTAAAGTTTGACTTGTGTTAGTTTTTTTTCTTTGTTTTCATATATATTCCGGTCTTAAGCCACTTTTTTAAAGGTTTAATACACAAATTGTCCTTTGAATTTTGTAACTTTTATCGAATTGGTCCTTAACTTTTTGAGGGGTCAAGTTGATCCTTGAAAGTGATAACTTTTGTTAATTTGGCTCCTGAACCTGTTTTTGGGTCAAATTGAATCCTAAATTGACAGCTTTTGTCAAAGTAGCTTTTGAAATATTTGATTAATTAAATTATTTGTTTAATGATTTCATTTAATATTTTTAATGAATATACAAATTCATTTTAAAATAATACACTTTTTGAGTTGGTTATTGGTCCATGTCAACAAGCAATTCAAAAGTTAACAATTTTGTTTTAGGGACTAAATTATGCCACAAGGACTACTGAGGTATTAAAGTGTACCACAATAATTAATTTAAAAATGTTTCTAAACCACTTAATATTTTTCATTAAAATTAAATGGAAAAGAGCTTTTTTATTAAAAAATATATATTACTAATTGTAGTTTTATTAAATTAATAAAATAATTATATAATTAAAAAATTAATTCGAAAATTCAGAGGAGTGGACAATATTGAAGAAACATCAGAAAGATTATAGGTGGCATAAAGGTTAAAAATTGGTTATTTTTTACTTTCAGTTTGAGCTTATAATAAAATGGTTTTACAAAAAGGGTTGCTTTCTTTTAAACATCAAAGTCGAACGAGTTGAACGAGAGATTTCCGATCGAATCAACCTGCTGTTTCTTAGACCACGGGTATCCGACCGTGATTATATATACGAAAGATCTTTGAAAGACATCCTCGTATCCATGCACGAAGAGTCGAAGCAACATAGAAGCAACAGGAGAGGTGAATGAATGAATGAATACCACTACTTTCTTTTCCCCCTATCTTACATTTTATTCTAAATATAAGAGTTCTATGTAACAAATCAAAATTGCAGTGGAATTGCAAAGACCCCACAGCTAGTTTCTCTCACAATCTCAATTAGAAAGAGCGTATCAGCTTTAAGCAATTCGAATAAGAATGCACATGCTTATAAATTACCTTTTTCCTAAGGCACCCTTGTTCGGTTGTGCTTTCATCGCTTCGTGTGAATTGAATGAATTAGTAGTCTCTCGGGCCAGGATGCAAATACGCAGCTTACACGTCCAGGCGGTGGAATGGCATGATAAGAGGCCGAGTGATGGTTGCCGAGACAGATCAGTTTGGCAGCCAGTCGTTTGAAAGCATTCACTGCAACACTCGAGATCGACAACAAAAGAACGCTGAATAGAAAAAACAAAGAACCCAGCCCCAAAGGGCAAAACCCAGCTGCAGTGTAGGAAGGTTAACCATGTGCCCACTAATAAAGATAATCAATATGGAATAACGTATGGAAGAGCGTAAACATCAACCGAATCTATCTGCAGAGCCTCTGCCCATACTTGTGGTGGCTCGTCAATCTCCGAAAATCCCACCTTGGGTTTCTTTGATTGAGATTCGGTATTCTGAAATAACCACAATTGCTCATCAAAATCAGACCATTCTTCCATTTTGGGCACGGTAAGTACCTGGCTCAAATACTTAGAATCCGGATGTGGTGGTTTGGTAGAAACTTCATCGATTTGACTAGTTTGTGCACTTGATAAATGCTTTGCTGGGGAGACGGATGACAACTGAGCTTCAACAATGCCATTCACCTTGCATTCTTTATTCTCGACTTTAGGAGTGGTTCCTGGTCCCTTGCTATCTAAAGTAAGTGGAATGGGAGCTTGACGAGACTCCAGTGTCTTTCTCAACAGTTGAGAGCAAGAAATTTTGGGCAACTTATTGGGTCTAACATCATCAACTGCAAGAAAAACAAAATAGAAAGCAGTACTTGTCACCGTTATAGATCTTTCAAACTGTCCCCTTCTAAGAAAAAAATCGATAAATTTTAGCCATGAATGCAATAGCACGATTTTGTTCACAGGTTTTCTAACAGATAAAAGGCACCAAAGTTTCAAGTGATCACCTACCTAAAGTAACACCAAAAATGTTTTCAAGTGATCAGCGGGATTGTATATACAATCATGGTATAAAACTCACCATGAAAAAATCCGTTTTTCTCCAAGTCCTTCCGCTTTCGGAGATTTTCCTCAGCAACGACATCCTTGTTTCCCTCCTTAGAAGGATGCAACGTTTTCAGACTGATGGTACTCAGAGGGTCATCTCTTTTGCTTCCATTTAAGTTATCCAAGTCCAAATTCCTATGTTCACCTTTCTCCTTCTTCGCTTTGTCTCTATCCTTATCTTTCCTGTGACTTTTCTTCTCTCTGTGTTTATCCCTGCGCCTATCCCTGATTTTATCATCTCCTTTTTCTTTGCATTTTTCTTTCCCTTCCCCACGCCTCTCAGCAATATTGTCCACTTGTTTGGGGATCCCTTCAACTCTAGCTTTATCTGCAGCAGAAACATTCGAAACCATAGCATTCCCACCAGCTCTCGTTTCCTCCATGATTCCTTGCACATCGAACTTCCTATCATCACTTTTCTTGGTCTTTTCCTTCTCTTCAGCCAATTTATTAGCAGTCTTAGCCACAAAACTGACCATTCCCTCATCCTTTTTCCGTCCACTGCCCGTAAACTTATCCACCAATTCGCATCTAGCTCCTGCACCTTCATCTCTGACCCTCCCCGCCAACTCCTGCACAAATATATAATCCCGGAAATCTTCAGCCAAATGACTATTCTGCCCAATCTTCTCTCCATTATAACCTGAAATGTGCCCAGCAAGTTTCTTCTCACCTGACAAACTGCTTCGATCTTTATCCCTATCCTTCTCTTTCTGGATAAACTTCTCCCCACTGTGACCTTCAGATTTTCCGGGAAGTTTCTTCTCATCTGAGATTTTCTCCCCATTCTGACCATCGGAATGACCAGAAAATTTCTTTTCCTCGGAGTTATTACTTCTGTCCTTTTCTTTTTCTTTATCTCGGCCCTTTTCCTTCTTTTTATCTCTGTCTTTTTCCTTTTTGTCTTTCTTATCCTTATCCCTTTGCTTTCCATCGCTTCTATCTTTAGCCTTTTTTTCTTTCTTTTCTTTCTTCTTCTCCTCCTTACCCTTGTCTTTGTCCCTCTTCTCCTTCTTATGACTCTTCTCTTCTTGTTTCTCCTGAAAATTGAGAATTTAGATTTTCAAAATATAGATTAATAAATCAAATGCAAAAGAAAATATTAACATAAATCCGAAACTACCAGACAGATCTTCAGTGCAGATATAAAGATACCTACGGAAATAACTTGGTCTACATATTACATGCCGATCATATATCAAGGTTATGACAGTGAGAATTAAAGGTATATGATAAAACATTAACAGCCATCTTAAGAATGTCAAGCATAAGTGCATATGGAGTCAACTATTCTAACAGATATTAAGAATGTCAAAACTCAGGAAGAAACCGATTCTTCCAGATATAGTAAAAACAGACACCAAGTAAATGCTTGTGTTCTTAATTAGTTAATAACTTTATACTCGAACCAATAGGAGACGTGGTTGATATTCTATCCAATATTTTTTCATCCATTACTTCTCAATATATTAATCATAATCAGCCAAATGTGGGGGGCGCCATTCAAGAATTATGAAAATCATGCTTGCAAATGGAGATGTAACTTGCACTGAATAGTAAGGGCACAAAATTAGTGGAGGGAAGCTAAACCCTAGGCCAAGCTTGATTACACACTGATGACATCACTTATCAAAGGTTGAAAACAAGAACATCATCCTCAGTAAGAACAGAAGTAAAAGTAACACATTAAGAATGATGATTGAAAAATCCGCTAAATCCTGAAGAAAAAGATTAAAATTCTTTCTTGTGTGATCCATAGAGCAAGTCAAACATCAGTTAGTAGAAGCTGATCTCTAGTGAGGGGAAAGAAAAGGTGAGAGATATTAACCCGAGTTAATCTTTCATTCGACAATGTATTGGCAAAATTTTGTTCCATGAATTAAATGTATCATCATGATTCATGACATTTTCATATAGACCATATAAGATTGAAATAACAATTGAGATGTTCATTCAGTCATAAGCATAACAACTAGCGCCTAATGGGGAGTAAATAAATTAGCACCACCAATGCCAGTCTACCGTTTCAATAAGGCTCCATTTAGATTTCATTTCAAATAAAGGCTCCATTCCTAAATGATATGTTCATGATATACAACCTATCAACCTAATACATGAAACTATATACATGCTTCATTCAGCAAGGCATGGCATTACTGAATTCTCAGTAAAAGTAGTCACAGAAGATTATGCATACATAAAATACATTTTCAGAGAAGACGACAAAAAACTTTATAAAGAATTTAACATTGCATGGAAATAAAAACAGAACAGCACAAGCTCAAATCCAATTCAGATATCAAGGAATTTGTTCTCGTCATGATACTGATGTGTGCTGATTCTACCATAATAATGGTGCAGAATACAAGCAAATGGTGTTAACCTTATTTAGCAAGTTCACATCATCAGTCCTAGCCTTCTTTTCATATCCTGGTGGTGGGAAAGGAAAGCAACGCGACATTTCACAGAAGTTTAGAACACTAAACGATAATGCCTTCCGAACGCAAAAACACTTGGATTATCTTCCAGTAGCAATGTTCCGTAAAGGGAACAAGAAGTAACTATGCTCCTATCCATGCACCATATCCCTGCATACATTTCCAGCTTCAATGTTCCCCCATGAACTCCCTGTCACTCTCGATAGCTCAAAAGAGTTCCTAAATCCACCAAGCTCTTTAATCTCCCTAACCTCAAATGTAACCCCAATTCAACTATCTAACACTAAACAAATCACTTCGAATGACAAAATCACCACAGCAAAGTCTCCAATCACTGCTAAGCCTACTCTTATCTTACCCTAAGCTACTTCAACAATGCCCCAAAATAGAAATATAACTTAAAGAAATGCTCTTCTGATCAAGAATTCTAGCTCAAAATCTATCA